CAGCCAATTTAAGTTCTGACAGTGCTTGCGTATACATATGCTGTTTACCTAAATTTAGCAATGCTGTCAGGAAGCTGAGGGAGGAGGCAATTCTATAAAGATGTGTTGCCTCATTAACCCTTATTCCCATTTATTTTAGCTCCATTAATTATTATGGATCACTTAAGGTAGGAGTAGCCAATCTTTGCTTGTATTGCATGATGAACAGCTATCATGGTACAAGGGACTTTGATTTGTAACTCAGCTACATGGTGCTCCAGATGCTCATGCAGGCCTGATCCACATTTAAAACTTTGAGTTGACATAGGTACAGAACTCAGGATTGTAAAAATCCACATTCAGAGTGTTGTAGAAGTTCTGGACTAATTCCTGGCTATAGATGTAGTAGGTAGATAGAAGAATGCCTCCCTCACCCAGCTAGAGGTGGAATTCCTACACAATAGGAAAACTCCTTCTGTCACTATAATCAGTATCTACGCTATAGGATTATAGCCATGGTTATGCTGCTGTAGTGCATGTATATCTGAAGCATGTGATCAGCTCCTCACACTTCCTGCTAGTTTTTGGAACCCTTACTGACAAGAAGCCAGTCTTTCTAGTTTAAGGACTCTGTTTCTAATGAAGCAATTGCCTGGACTACAGTATAGGATTTGTGCACTATACACTGGTGACAAAGTGGGAGAAAGGATCCTATGTAGGTGAAAATAAGAGGGGAAACAAGGGACTGGAAAGAGTAAAAATACAAAGGGATGTCTGAGGTAACAAGGGGTGTAGTGGAGCACAAATGGGAACTATGCAATGGAGCATTAGGGAGTACTACAAGGGTTAGAGACTAGAGTGAATAGGAATCAGGTGAAATAATCAAAGAAGAGTTTAAATTAATATGGGAATCTGGAAGTCTTGGGTCTCAGGCACTTGAGCATTTTGGTGAAATTTTATTTATTTTCTCTCCTTTTTCACCTTCAAAGAAAGATAATAGCAGAACAACAATCTGTGATTTACAAGCAGAATCTAGGTCACCCTGCTCCATAACATCTAGCTTATTTGAAAACTTGTCCCGTGGACAAAAATTAACAATTACATCCAGAGCATCAGCATTCCAGCTGGCAATGTCTAATCAATATAAATGTAAAAATAATTTTGTGTTAGGGATGTAAAATCCCATTTAATTAGTTAGCAAGTTAATGTTAAGTTTAACCGGTTAACTGATTAAATGGGGGCAGGCAGAAGTGCCATTTCAGTCCACTGGTCTGGAATGGTGTTCTCCACCCGCGGCAGCCCTTGCCTGTGACAAGACTGCAGTTGAAGCAGCCCCTGCTTGCGGTGGACCCTGTGGGGCTGGAGTAAATCCCTGTCCGTGGCAGGCAGGGGCTGCTCCAGTCCCTCCTGGTTAACTGGAACTGGTATGCCTGACCCATTAGCAAAATAGAAAGTGCCAATTGCTTGAGTTATTGAGAACTAACTAAGCCAATTAAGGGATAATAGTGATTCGAGGGGAAGAGTATGAAATAGATTGGAAAATTGGATAGGAAAACACTGGCAGGAAGAACAAAAAGAGAGTGGGGGACTGAGAGCTGTATGAAAGGAAAAGAAGGGCTCTGTGTAAGCCCCAACACTTCTCTGTCTCACCAACAGAAGTTGGCCCAATAAATTATTACCTCTCCCATACACTCTCTCTAGTATCCTGGGACTGATACGTCTATAACACCACTGCATACATGAAAGGGAAGTAAAAATGAACCTAAAGGGGTAAGGAGAGCTGCAAAAGGGATAAACAAGAGAATATAGTAAAACAGGGAATAGAGAAGGGCTATGAAAAGAAAAATGGTTTTAAAATGTAAAAGGCAAGGTGGGTGATAGAATATCTTTTACTGCTCTTTGTGGTTTATGCAACATTTACAAGCTCCTCTTATTTGATTAGTGGGAATCTCTTGGAGAAGCTACGATCCCTTGGTGGCCCACTTAATCTTGGACATACTTTGCTAGGCAATGGGACAACTTCCTAACCTCATAGTTAATTCCCAGGCACTATTCGGCTACGTCTATATTGGCAAGATTTTGAGCAAATATTTTTAACACAAGAGTTTTTGCGTTAAAGTATTCGCGCAAGCGAACGTCTACACTGGCATTGCCTGTCTACACTGGCCTCTTGCGCAAGAACAGTTGCGCAAGAGGGCTTATCCCTGAGCGTGAGCGTCAGAGTATTTGCGCAAGAAGCACTGATTTTATACATTAGAACGTTGGTGTTCTTGCGCAAGTACTCGCGGCCAGTGTAGACAGGTGGCAAGATTTTGCGCAAAATCTTGCCAATGTAGACACAGCCCTCTTGTTCTGGTTAGGGATGTTAGATAGCAGGTATTTGAGTAGTCGTGTAACCACATGAAATCTTTGTGCTTACACAATTATTCAACAGTACCTGGGGGCAGGGCTGGCAACCAGTGCGCTCCTGGCCCCATACCCGGGGAGCGCCCATTCACCCCATTCTGCTGCCTCTGTATCAGTTTAAAAACCAGCTCCCCTCACGGACTGGCTGCCTGGCACCCCACGCTGCTGCCTCTGATACAGAAGCAGCAGAGTGGGGTGGCAGTAACCCCTGTCCGTGAGGGTCCCATGTTCTCCATGGACAGAGGCTATTCCAGGAGATGCAGAGCAGCCTGTCCTCAGGGAGCTCAGACCCTCCCCCGCAGTTGGGGGTTGCTACCTCGAAGATGCGAAGCAGCCACTGTCTGTGGGTACCCTGGACCCCTTGTGGACAGGGGCTGCTACCATGAAGCAGCTTCCCCTCACCCTCGCTGCTGCCTCTGCTAGAGGCAGGAGGCTGTGGAGCCAGGGGTGGGGTTCAGCACCAGCTCCTGCTTTCCCTCTCTTGTTGCCTCTGATACAGAGGCAGCAAGTGGGGGGATGTAAGTAGTCAACAAGATTAACTGATAAGCCTAGGCTTATTGGTTAATTATCTAGTTGACTACTCATTGACATTCCTAGTTCGGGTTTGTGGTGCTTGAAAGCTTGTCTGTTCCACCACCAGAAGTTGGTCCATTAAAAAACAAGGGCTATGTCTAGACTGCAAGCCTCTTTCGAAAGAGGCTCTTTCGAAAGAGAGCGTCTAGACTGCACGTTGAACTTTCGAAAAAGCGGCTTGCTTTTTCGAAAGAAAGCATCCAGTGAGTCTGGATGCTCTCTTTCGAAGAAGCCCTATTTACATTGAAGAACGCCTTCTTTCGAAAGAGGAACTTTCGAAAGAAGGCGTTCTTCCTCGTGAAATGAGGTTTACCGCCATCGAAAGAAAAGCTCGAAAGAACGCAGCTGCAGTCTAGACGCAGGTGAGGTTTTTTTGAAAAAAAGGCTACTTTTTTCGAAAAAACCCCTGAGTCTGGACACAGCCAAGGAGAAAGGTAAGGAAATATCTTTCTTATAGGCTGGACCCATTACTCCTACCCCAAGACAAGCAATGTGAAAATAATGAGTTGTAGGAAAGTACAAATCCATAACTCAACCCAGATGGGAAGGAAGGAGCACAATAAAATAAATGCCTAGGTGCTATGATAGGAAATTAAACGTGAGAATAGGCGGACGCCTCTCAGCCTGGCAAGGCCCCGTCCCAGGTGTCAGTGGACCACCAAAGGATCCTAGGCAGATTCCCACTAATCAAAGGAAGGGGGCCTATAAATGTCACCTTGACCCCCACAGAGCATGTTTTCCCCTTGCTCTTGGCTCCTCAGTACATAGGTGCTGAACTGGGGTTGCTTCTGCACCCCCAGGCTTATAATGGAAGCCACTTTAGACAAGGCTAAAGCGTATTCCAGCACCCGCTGCTTTTCCCAAACACCAGCAGCAGCAGAGGTGTGGCTGGGCCCATCCCTCTGCCCCCGAGCCAGCTGGAACCCGCTCCCTCCCTGGCCTCCATCATCTCCCAGGGCAGGCCGGGGGGG